TGGGTCTTTGGGGTCCTCCAGGCCAATGCATTTTAGTTCCCAGATTCAGCATCTCTGCCCTTGCTGGATTGAACCATACTGTTATCTCTCCTACCTCCATGCCCCAACACAATTATTTGACTAGATGAAGTTCACCTTAGCCCTGAAACCTAAGCATCTAAGAAATTCACACGTTTCTCAAAGAATCTACCTATGACCTCTTTAGAGGCTATCAATGAGCAAGAACTATTTCTGACAGATTCTATTTCCCAGAGATGGAGTCTGTTTAAAAAAATAAAGAGGGCAATTTTATTACTTGCCTTTATTAAAATCTGTATAGTAATCCATGATGCCTCAGGCTGAGAAGGAAGAAAACAAGTAAGCTGTGAGTCCCTGCTCTGGTCTGATCTAATTGAATTGTCAGTCCCTGGGGCAAGTGACAGATACAAGATGGGACTAGTGAAGAGCTGGGAACACTTGGAATGCATAAGCCTGATGTGGAAACAACTGGAATGATGACTATGCAGGGTTTAGCAATGGCTACACCACAAATTTCACACTAAGGGAGAGAGGGAAGGTGGTGACACATTTTCATGATTCAAGGACAAAAAAAGAAAGGCTTTTTAGAGGGAGAGAACTCATTCTGAAGAGCAACTAATAATTGAGAATAGTATTTCAAGAAGATAAAACCATGCTTCCTGAAATAACTGAAGGATGGCTGTGCATATTCTATACATCCTTGAAACAAGACATAAATGTAAGGTCAGGACAAGCACTCCTTTCTGGCTTCCAGTTCTCTTTGAAGGCACTCAGTTCGCAAAGAAAAAGCGATAAAGCAGAACTGAGTGAAGAAATAGCCTGAGCTTACTTTTTTCTTCTCTATAAATCACAATAGATCATGGGTCCTGATCACGAGATTTGACTGGAGGTGGGGAAAAATTGGCTACATTAATGTGCCACCCCCACCTTTGCTCAATCCTAGCAGGAAAAACAAAAGGTCAGATCTCACAAAGCACCAGTTCAAGGATAAAACATGCAAGAGCAAGCTTGTTTTAAGTAGGAAAATAAACAACAGCACTAGCTGTTGCCCTTTCTTTTTAGGCAGCTAAGAACAGTGAGAGAAAAAGATACAGAAAACCATCCCAGATGATTTAGGACACAGATAAGAAAGAAAAAAATCTCTGTCTTGCATTTGTTTTAAAAAACTACAGATGCCCATAAAGTAGGTATAGTGGGTGGACAATTATCTGAAATACAGCTTTAAGTGATAAAAGCTAAAGAGAAATTTGAAAAAGAAGGAAAAAAATCAAACCAACTAAGTGGATAGAGTGGGAAGGGGGTTTGCAACCACACCCAAAACTTATAAATGCAAAACAGTAAGAAATCAATTATGGACAGGCAGTTGTGGTGAAAGCCTTTAATCCAAGGACTTGGGAGGCAGAGTTAGGCAGATCTCAGTGAGTTCAAAGCCAGCCTGGTCTACAAAGCTAGTTCCAGGACAAACCAGGCTACACGGAGAAACCCTGTCTCAAAAAACCAAATAAATAAAAAGAAAAGAAAGGTAAGAAAGAAACCAATTAGTCCTGTCACTTTTCACTCCAGCTGGCATCAAGGAAAACAGACCAAATGTGATAACTCACCCATTACCCATACAGAAATGTCTCTCAATATTAAACATGCATAGAGCTGAACTAGTATCCATGCAACAAATGGATGTTGAGCATTGATGCCCACCTATCTTATGTTAAGATTTCTAGAGTGAAGAGGATTGCAGCTGAGCTAACTCAGACCTCTTGACCACACATGTCTAATATTCAGCCACATGTGCATGCCCCAAAGGGTAGCAGAGTCATACATCTGCAAAGCACCCATGCCTGGGAATCCCCTCTTTGAGAGATACAAAATGAATTGGTGGTCCTTGATTGCAGGAAGCTCACAGAAGTAATGAAACACACACTTAAAAGGTACTTTTAAATGAAATAAAAAGTCAAAAAAAGGGGAGTTCTCTGCAGGAGCATTCAGCTCAGGGAGCTATAGAAGGACACTAAAAGCCTCCTAGAAATCTCTCTTGGTGGTAGGATAGTGATGATTTCCCACATGTAAAAAAGGGGGGGGGGAATCCTTTATTTCCACAAAAGCTATATGAATAATTGGTGCCTGTTAAGAGTCAGGTCCCATGCTATCTTAAACCGAACTCAAACCAAGCAGGTAGTCTAGTATTTCCCCATCTTGCAAATGGGGGGATAGAAAGCTGGGATAGTCTACGACAGACTTAAATCTCTGATCTTTTCCTATTCTGGGTCCTTCAAGATCCATAGTGTCAGGCATGAGGAAACAGTATGGTAAAGGGGAAGGGACAGAGAGACTGTGGATGCTGGGTTAAACTATTTAGGCTTTAAACAGTAGCAAGGAGAAGTCACTATCCATTTGGGGGGGGGTGGTTGAGAGAGGGTTTCTCTGTTTGAGACCAGGCTGGCCTCGAACTCACAGAGATCTGCCTGCCTCTGCTTTTCCAAATGCTGGGATTAAAGACATGTGCCACCAATGCCCAGCTAACTATGCACTCTTAAAAGGAACGTCACATTAATAAGCATATTTTAGGCCTCAGGCTATGGTTGATGAATTATATATTACAGAAGAGATTTTAAAAAGTTGGGAGGAGTCTTCCCCTGCCTTTGTATACACACCCACAAACCATGCCTCTGTAGAGCTACCACCCCCTAACTGTTCAGAGGATCCCCCCTGCGTCAGGCTTCTGGGAAGATTAATACAACAGTACTAAAGAGAAGTACCTGTGACTTCAGGGAACAAGGACCTGTTCACCCCGGAGCTGTCCAAATATGGCTTCAGTGTAATCCCTGCTAGTGCGCCATTCAACAGAGCCCAGAGCCGTCCAGAGACTGAGGGCATAGCACAGGCTGAGTCCAGTAGCCTCAGAACGCAGGCTGACTCTAGGTCATGAGTTTACTTCACCAAACCATGCTAAACTGACACCACTGGGTGACAAGGAGCAAGTTCCTTTTTTTTTTTATGAACATCCTTATCTTCATCTCTCAAAAGAGAAATTTGAGTGCAAGGGACCAGAGTTTACTCAACGGTCCTTACTGCCCAACTCAAGACCATCGGGGATCTGTTGCCATCAGCATTTCATTATCCAGGATGTAGGAGGGAATTACCCCTGAGAGCCAGAGGTGTTTATCTTCTAGCTGGGAACGGTTGTGCTACCTTAACTCTGAGATGCCTTCTGCAGGTCAAAGGTGTATCTGACCTAGGAGTAGACTTCTAAGTGCAAACAGGGTCACAGACATCAGAAGCAATTCAGTTACACATGGCTTTATGACTACGGCCAATTCAGTTATACTGTGACATCATGACCATAATCAAGTACAGGGGGAGTGGTCACCCTGCCAGTGAATGAGCATCCTACAGTCCAAATCTCCCACTGCCTAGGAATGGTCTTTTATTTACTATTTTGGATGATTTAGTCTAGATGATGGTGGTACTGGGGTGGCAGGGGGAGGGAGAGGGGAGGTTCCCTGAGAAGCAAAGGCAAGTCTTCCCCCCTAGAGGGCCCATGGAGCACAGAGCAGAAAAGACCATAAGGTATCCTTTAGGTGTTAACAAGCAAATTTCCAAAACAGCAAACATATTTCCTTCTTCAGAAATTGTCAGTTATGTGAATCAATGTCACCACAAAAGTCTGAAGGCTGTTGAGCTTGGGGCTTCATCTTCTATGACCTCCAGTCAGGGAACGGAGAAAAGGGGCTCGAAATAAATGTTAATGTTATATGAAAATATGCAACTACAAACAGAACCAGATTTTCTCCCGGCAAAGAGAAAATCTGTCTACCACATACTTCAGAACCATCAACAAAATGGCTACATCTTTGCTCACACCTGAGACTCCCCGCACCCAGGGAAGACCATACATAGGCGGTCACACTACAGGACCATCCAGACTCTGCTCTGGCAACCAGCTTAGAATAGTTTGCTATTGGCTCTCGGGGAGCTCTCTCCCAGAACCGACTGATATCTGGAAGAAAGGGAAAAATTGTGTCACTCTCTTTTTTAAATCAAGGTTATACTTAATGCATGTCTTAGCAAATCCATTGGAAAGCACAGGAGGACAGACAATTCATACGTCCTGGACAGAATTCTGGCCTCCTAATTCCTTGATACAGCCTTGTCAACTCCTCAACTCCAGCACTTCCCACTATGGAGCTCTGAGATTAGGTCTCTGTTGTTACTCCTCCCACCGCTGCGGAAAAGACCTGGATATATACACCAGGAGCCAGAAGACAGGAAGAACTGGAGAAACATGAGTTTGTGGAAGTGGGGGGGGCGGAGGGCTGGGGAATTCATTGTCTGCTATGCATCCAGTTAGGTCTTTTAAATTGTGGGTGTGGGAAATAAGCCAGTTAGGTTGCATACCTCTTGACAGCAACTCCAGGGAGGTTAAATAAACGCAAATAAACCCAGAGGGCTCTGGGCATCTGAGGTGAAGCAGCCCAGGATAATAGGGACCCCCAGTAATCCCAAAAGGCCCATATTTTCAATGAGGTTGCCTCAAACAGCCTCAAGCATACTTCCTCTACTTTTTCTCTGTGCTCTTCTATCACTGAAGAGAAATGACTTCGTTTAAGACCATGTTTCCTTTTAGCTTGTGAAAACTTTGTTAAACTTAGAAGGTTCGGACTGCAGAGCAGGAGGGATGCCCAGGAGAAGAAATGAGAATCAGGACTAGGCTGTGTCAAGGAATTTACTCTAACATCTAGGTAGACCACAGGTATGTGAACTGCAGTAGGACACTTTTGATACAACGGTATCGGTCCAGCCCATTTTGCTTGTGAAACTGATGCTGAGACAGAGCAAAGAGGACCTGCCCGAGTCCACCTAGTCCTGGGGCGTCTACTTTCACTCACAGGAAAGCCCCTAGAAAAGGCTGGCTGGCTGACAGAGCAATACCCGGAGGCAGCCCTAGGAAGGGGTGCAAGAGCTTTGGGCACAGATGCGCTCAGTACCTTGATGTAGGCCCTCTGCAGGTAGTTGTAGGGTACTCTGCGCTGGAAGTCGCTGCGCACGTCCTCGCTGACGCGGTGGCGGGACGCGGGGCCGCCCAGGCGCTGGTTCTGGCAGCTACGGGAGCAACTCGCCCGTGCGAGCAGCGCTCGGAAAAAGGGCAGCTCGGCTCCGGGGCCGGAGCCGGGGTGTACGAGCGGGCGGCGCGCCGCGCAGTGGCGGGCGCAGCGCGTGCGGATGTCTAGCAGGCGCCGCTGGCTGCGCAGCGCGGCTTCCAGGTCACGCACCGCACTCTCGTAATCACCCCTGTAGTAGGCAGCCACGCCGCTGGCGTAGAGCAGGTCGAAGGGCTGCAGCGGGCCGTGCTCAGCCTCCAGCTCCGGCTCCCGGCGGCCGTCCTGGGGGCCGCCCCACTGAGGCGCGGGCAGCAGAAGCAGCAGCAGCAGCGACACCCACGTGCTCTCCCGCATCCTCCGCCAGACCCGCCGGGGAACCACCGCCCTCCGTGCCTGCTCCCGCCGCACCTCGCCTCCGAGCACCGCTCCGGCTCCGCGGGCTAGCACGCCGGTCTCGCTGCGATACTGCTGCCCTGCCGGACAGCCCCAGGTGACCGGCGGCGCGCTAAGGTTCTAGAGGCGGAGGCTCGTCCGGCTGGCCGCTCTTAAAGGGACGCCTCCAACTCACACGCTCCTCCTGCCGCCAGCCGAGCCTCTGCGAGCCGCACTACAGCAGTCTGAGAGCTAGCACCGCGAGAGGCAGACCCCGGGGACAAGTGTAGCGGTGTCCTCTTGGCCTGGCGCCGCAGTGGCAGCTACCAGCCCTGATCACCCGCCCAGTGGCACCTGGTCTGAAGAGCTAGCACCTAACCTAATTCATCAGTTGACTGACCAGATATCTTTTGTGCCCCTATATGAACTTTGGTTTGGGAATTTCCCAAGACAAAGGCCTATGCAAAACTTGGTTCAGGAACCCTGGAAAACTGTGGTACCTATGAATTGAGTCTTGGAGCATGAAATTGTCGTTTTAGAAGCCTCATTCTAGTTGTCCTGAGCATATGGTAATCAACTGACTCAAGTGTAAAAATAGAGAAAAATAAAAATGCCCTGGGCATAGGGAAGGTACTTCAGTTCCTAGAAGCTGAGCGCCCCCCCCACGCAGCTACAAAGGTTGAGTTTTCTTTTGAAGGACCCATGTGAACCCACACCTGCCCTGCACCGAGAGGCTCACAGTCGTTTTCTGAAGGCTTGCTGCTTGCAGTCCTTCACCCTCAGATGCAACAAGAATGTCCATCTCGGCCTGTGTGGAAAGCACTGGAGAGAGGGAGGGGCTCGAGCCAGTTGAAGAGAAAGTAGTTTGCATAGTTTATACAGCTAAGAACATGCAAAGGATGGACCTAACTATGGACCATGGGAACAGAAGCTTCCTGCCCTCCTCTAGGGCAGGGTCTCTGTCTCTCTTGTGCTCTCACTTGGCTGTGTGTGGAAGTGTTCCTGCATCGCATGTGGAGAGTGCTCTACGGAGAGGACAATAAATAACCCGAGTTTCCTGTTCAGACCATGGAGGAAGGTGAAGCCGTACTTTAGTGCTGCCTCTGGCAGCTTTCCAGATGTATGACTTTGTGCAGCTGAGCCTCGGTTACCCTTTCAGAGCAGCCAGATGCCCGACATGTCCAGTGATATTTGGACATAAATCCCTATTGTGAGAGTTAAACAAAGAAGCAGTTTAACAAACCCAGTACCCTGGGACTTAAGCAGTGAACATCAATCTAGAAATGGGAAAGCTGACAGGAACAGCTGCCAGAGTCTAAGAAACTAGCTGGAGGCTTTCCTGTTCTTCCCCTTCTGCTAGATCTTAAATACCTTCATGGCCAAGGTATTCCCCTCTTTTCTGCTCCTTGGCTCCACACTCTCAGGAAAAAAAAAAGTGTGTGCTAGACTCCAGGTACAGGGCAATTCGGTCATCAGAAATAGCTAAGTCTTAAGAACCAAGTGCCACAGCTAAACTTCAGGAACTTTGGGACAGTAACTTGACACTGCAAACTTTGTTCAGTTACCATATACAAATGATGAAGTTAAAACCCCCAGCACAAGGACAGGCATGGCAGGAAGAAGATGCTTAATTGAACACAGCAAAGTATACAACGTATACTGTGTCCCAGAACACTGGATGATGTACTTTTATGGACAACTTCTTTTCAAAGGTGAAAGAAATGTATGAAAGAAAAGAAGAGAAGAAGGAAGGAAAGGAAGGAAGGAAGCAAGAAAGGAACTGAAAGAAAGGAAGGAAGAGAAAGAAGGAAATAAGCTATGGTTTGAGACAAGAGCTATTGGAAACACAAACTGCTGACATTTCTGCCAAGACAGGTAACAAATGAGAGCCTGAAACCACACTTTGCATCCCCGTTCCTTGTGATTTCAAAGAACAGTCAAAGCACAAGAACGCTCATCCAGAGCCCTGAAGAGACATCCAATCACCTCCCATTTTATTGTATTTGGAATGGGTCTTGACAGAAGCTCCAATTCCCTTTGACTTCTGTTTATAAGTCATCAACAGCTCAGGCGCACTTGCAGCAGTGTTACATCAGAAGAAAGGAATTCTGGAAAGAGAAAATCTTCAGACGCTTCTTAGGCTCTACAAATCAGCTTAGATTTTTGAGCTGACCTCCCTCCTTATAAAACCTTTCTGGAGGAACAAACAGTGTACTCAGACTGCAGCAGGAGATTTAATCAACGCGTTCTGTAAGCAAATGTGATACTAGTTTATTTTGATCATGTTTAACCAGCCAGAGCTTTTGCTTGCCCCAAACATCTGATGCCTTTGACATGAAAGGAATAATTCTCACTGTGTAACAACTCAGCCCGTGTTCAGCTGCTGTTGATGCTGGCGACAAGGGAGTTGTTTGGAAGACTTTTTTTTCTTACACAAATAGGATCATCTGAAGTTTTTTTCTTCTTCTTCTTTTTCCAACCAAGTTAGTGTGAAAGGCCAGTCAACAGTCTGTCAACATAAGTGAGAAGAAAAAGGCCTCCTAGAGGAGGAAGGGGATTTTTTTAGAAAAATTAATATTTAACCTACATTTAAAATCAAACAGAGCTGCCACATTCCAAGACTGAGTGTTTCTTTCCAGTGTTCTTAGTAGCTCCAATTCCATGCTTACCTTCATTTTTGGTGGAGCTTTAAAATTCCAAACTAAACAAACCACGGACACACTTCACCTCTGTGCTCATGTCACCGAGACAGTCTAGCTCCTTTACTTCCTTGGGAGAACTCCTATTCTGCTAAACAACAAAAAGGGAGGAGTATAAATAAACAATGCTAATTACTCCCAAGGTAGTGTGAGTGGCTAAAAGCATGATTCACTTGGAAATGCAGTCTGACTATCATGCCAGGCTATTATGTCACAAGTACTGTCGCTTAACTGTCAAGAGTCCCTTTGAGTAAAGCACTTTCTGTTGGTTTTTTGTTTGGTTGTTTGTTTGTTTTTGTCAATTTTCACAAGCTAGAGTTACCTGGGAAGAGAACTTAAACTAAAAACTTCCTTTCATCAGGTTGGCTTATAGGCGTGTCTGTAGGATATTTTATTAATTAGTGATTCATGGGGGAGAGCCCAGGCCACGATGGCTGATGCCATCCCAGAGTAGGTAGTCCTGGGCTGTATAAGAAAACAAACTGAGCAAGCCATAGTTTCTGTTTTGGTTCCAGGGATCACCAAGCGCAACCACAAGGGGCTATAAGGTTTGGGGGAGTATATGGTTACCCTCCAGAAAATGACTGGTAAGGCTTCAGTCATAAAACATGATAAAATCAAACCAGTGCATACCTTTAAGTGTGAGTGTTAGAAGCCAGAGAAAGTGCAGAAATCAGGGAAGTATAAAAGGGCAGAGTGAGGCAACTCTAGAGAGGGAGACTGGGGTGTATGAAAGGGAAAATGGAAAAAATGAGAGAGGGACTTTAAGTGGGGAGGGAGAAGAGAAGACAATACAGAGGGAGGGAAAGGAGGAAAAGAAAAACAACCTTGCTAGGGACATCTCTGTCCCAGACTCCTGGCTTACAGCTGCTAGTGTAGCTTAAGTGTGACCTACCACGGTTTTCCAACTGTGTCAGAATCACCCCTCAGGTGCTGGCCTCCCCACTTGTGGCAGGGCTCCTGGATGGCTCTGACCTGATCCATGTAGAGCAAAGCTGAAATACTTCCTCTCTGGCCTCAGCTCAGTGGGAAAAGGATGGAGAAGTCCACCTCAAAGTAATGATGTTATGACATCACTTCTAGAAAAACAGCTCAATGGTTTTGCATTTTTGGGGAGATCTAGATAGAAATCAAAACATAGGAAATGTAAGACTGATTACACTGTTTGATTTGTAGAGAATTTACATCTAGTTCCTCTGTGGTGTTAAATTATCATCTTTGTTCAGATCAGTCAAAAAGACTCTAAGCTGGGTATACTTTTTAACTTTATTTTATTCTTGGTGTTAGGGAATGAGTAGACATTAAGAGATCAATCATACAGACTTATAAATGAAGAGGAAGTGTACTGGTTAGTTTTTGCCTGCACGGTACTTCAGTCAAGAAATTTTCCTCCATCTAAGGAACACTTCTTGATCTCTAATTGATGTGGAAGAGTACTGACCATGGGCAGTGCCACCCCTGGGTAGGTGAGGCGGGGCAATATTAGAAAGATATCAAGGTAGTCAGAGGAGGCAAGCCAATAAGCAGCCTTCCTCCATGGCCTCTGCTTCAGTTACTCCCTGAGGAACTTCATGAGGTCCTGTCCTGACTTGCCTCAATGATGGATGGTAATATGGAAGTGCAGGTCAAATAAACTCATCCATAAGTTGGTTTTAGTCAGTGTTGTGTTACAGCAACAGATATTAACTAGAGCAGATAGAATCTAAAAACAATAGTCACAGAATTATCTAACCTCACATAATTGAAGATAGTTTCCTTTCTGTACCAGAGTGTAATGAAAGAATCCCTCCTACCAAGGCTAGTAACTTTTCTAACCATTTTCTGAAAGGCTCCAAAACTTCCTATGGTGGAATTACAAAGAATTAGAAAGTGCCAAGGACACTGAAGTCTTAGTTGCTAAGATGCCATGGATTCCACTGCCAGGTACCTGCCTCTCTTCCTCGACTGCTTTGCCAATCATTTTCACCCTTGTTGACTTTGCTCAATAGAATGAATGAGGAAACCCTTGACTCACTTGACCCAGAATCTCTGCTTTTTTCCTTCACTGTTAAGTTTCCTCTTCTGCTGAGTAGCCTATCTCAACCCACTAGAGGATGAAACCTCTCCAAGTCCCAGGAAAATCCCTCTCCACTCTAGAAATCTCATTATCTCATTAACCAACACACTTCTCTGATGAAAATCTAAAAAAAATGTATTTGAGGAGGCATAATTTCAATTATATACCTAACATTCTGCCAAAATATGATTGCTACTACAAATGTAAACCTTAGCATGATTTAGTGTCAATGTTAGAGTGGTATACACACACACACACACACACACACACACACACACACACACACACGAGGAAAACCTAAAGGAAGAAAGAAAATAGCTTTGCTTTGCTTTTGAGTAAAGAAATTGGTATTAAATTTATTTAGCGAAATTTTAAATCATTCAGCAAAGTCTTAGGAACAAAATTAAACAGTTAAAGTTGAAATACCAACTGCATTAAAATTAATACTTTACTTAATGTCATGATTTCAAAAAATTGATTAAAAATATGTTAGTAGAACTCATCAACCTCACCAGTGTAAGACTCACTCATGCATGATGCTTTAAATTCTGACCTTGCTACTTCTCTTGACTCCTCTGGGAAACAGAATCTGTGGCTTCTTTACCCAGACATTCACAAGGACTCCCTCTATACTTCCTTGAAGACAGCTTCTAAGTGATAACCTGGCCAAGTGCATTTCATCCGAATGGAAATCTATTCAGAAACTTACGGTTGTCCACCCCATAAACTGTCTGGAAGAAAAGAGCTTGCTCAGATCTCAGCAGTGTGTCTATTTGATATCTGAATGAGTAAGAACAAAACAGAAAAAATTTGGAGGCTGGGGGAAAAAACATGGGTAAAACACTAGCCATGCAAGTGTGAGGACCTGAGTTCCTATCTCAAGCACCCATATAAAGCCCAGTGTGCTTATCAGTACACCTATATCCCAAGGGTTTGAGAAGCACGGATAATAAGCCAGCCAGCTACACACTAGTGGAATCATCAATCTCAGGCTCAAGTGAGAGACACTGTCTCAATAAATGAACTGGGAAGAATTGGATGAAGCTTCTGATGTAAAGGTCTGGCCTCAACATGCACACGTATACATGTGCCTGCACACACACATTACACATTCAAATCTATTTGAACATGTCTACACACATGCACAGGCACACACAAATTTTTAAAAGTGAACTTATAACTTACAGAACTATACATATATAATTATTCTGGCTGGAAGTCAAAATACTTTGCATTGGCTGGTTCTGCCATGAATTAGTTTGGATATGTTCAGCAGACCGTTTCCTTCTGGGCCTCTTCTGCCCTCAACAGTATAGGAATGAAAAGAAAGTGCCTCCCCAGCCTCTGTAATCTCAGACCTTTCACTCAAAATCATAGCAATATTATCCCATTCCTGGAAGTGCCAGAGCACTGCTGTGCTCTTGCTACACCGGCTCTGTGATGAAGTTAAACGGGGATTCCCAAGCACAGTTCTCAGCTTTCCCTACAGTCATGAAGAAGTGTAGCCTCAGAACATGTGGCTTTGGAAATCTCAGCTAGCCTCTGAAAGTCAAGCAAGACACTGATTTATTTTGAGTCAAGCCATAGTGGGCAAACATCCCCTCCAGAGCCCTAAAACCCTCCGAGTTCAATCTGTCCCGCATTTACTGTCCTCCTGTCTCTGCCTCTGAGTTGTAAAAGAAGCTGTTAAAATGAAGATGGATGATTCTGTCATTTACTCCCTTCTGCTCAGACACTCCATGCTAACGCTGTGTTGATACTAACGCTTTAGGAAGAACTTAAAGAGAATTTTAATATATTGCTTTACAATCAAAACTGATGTTTTGAAAAAATATATTCCATAACTTATTTCCCATAACCAAGTTTAGGTGATATTTAGATATTTCCCCAATTAGGGTGCATTTCAGAAGATACAGATATACTCACTAAAGCATGATTGAAGGTAATGTTCTGAAGAGTCACAGGTTGTCCTTCCATTCCAGAATAATAATTACTGTATAATAAGAATACTAGCTGGTAAACAATAGCCTCACTTCAGGTTCTGTAGCACCTGACCGTTATCAGAGCATCTACCCAAGTGCACACGCGTGCACACAGATACACGTAATAGGATAGGGAGACGGTCATCGCCTTGCCTAGCCTACCCTCCTGGGCATTTACTGCACAGAGCCCTTGGGTTATGCTGTAAAACTGGGGAAATTCTTGTCTGTGCCTCCTCTTTCTCCACAGCGCCACCAACTCCCCACATCATTTGCTATATAGGAGCAAACAATTACATCGCTCTTCACTTTCTGGAGAAATTTTCTGCACTCTCAAGTTCACTACACTTTGAAAAAGAAACTTGACTAAATGCATAACATTTTGAATCTATCAAAGAGTCACTATTGAAGATCTCCTTTCTCTATCCTCCTCCTCATTCCTGATACCCCATTAAATGAACCAGAGACATCAACTTTCAGATTGCAAGTCTGTCTCATTACAGGGTACCTGAAGGAGAGCTCTGAAGAAGCAGAATAGAGACTTCATTAACCATGAGCAGGAGGTGTGTGTGTGTGTGTGTGTGTGTGTGTGTGTGTGTGTGTGTGTGTGTATGTATGTATGTGGGTGTAGAAGGGTTGAGGGTGGGGTACCAGGCAGATTAACAGAAGCAACCTCAACCTCCAGTTGGATCTTGTTTGGTTTTTGTTGTTGTTATTTTTTAAGACAGGGTTTCTCTGTGAAACAGCTCTGGCTGTCCTGTAACTCACTCTGTAGACCAGGCTGGCCTTGAACTCACAGAGATCTGCCTGCCTCTGCCTCCCAAGTACTGGAACTAAAGGTGTGTGCCACAACTGCCCGGCTACTCCAGTTGGATCTTTTAAGGGCAAAACCCGTAATTGTGACAAATATAGAAAGGGAGCATTGTTTAAAGAAGTGGAGAGATTATAATTAAACAGTCAGCAAGTAAACCTTTAGCTCTAGGTCATATTGTGTAGGAATTTAGGGCTAAGGATTAGAGTTCAGTTTGCTGTAGGAATTTGGGGCTGGTCCAGAGACAAGTTTTCCTCAAGTACTGCTAGGCATTCCTTCATGAGATGGTGTGACTGTGGTTGAGTCCCCAGGTTATTTCTTAAGACTGTATGAAGTCTGTGAGTTATTTGCTTCCTAAGTTTAAGGTGTTTGCCTATACTATGGGTGTAAGTGCTTTGCCTTCCTTTTGGGCACTCCGGTGGAAGTTTTTATCATGGAGGAAATTGCTACACAATACTGACTTTCCAGAGGTGTGTTAATAGTCCCTGAGAGTTTTGAATCTTCTTTCTCACTTCAATCATCTTCTTGAATTTTGTTTGTGAGTTCTGTATTATTAGAAAGGCGATGAGATACTCATGCTTCGAGTCTCTGAAATCCCCTCATTTTAAAACACACCATGTACCCATTCGATATATCCTTTAAGAAGAGCAGGCAGAATCCCTGGAGAAGACAGCCCTGCAGACAAAAAAAAGCACATCACTTTCCAAAGAACCCAAAGTTGGAAGCAACAGTTTTGGAGAAAAGTTTTAAATTTATACTTTTCTTTTACTGAGCTTTTTGAGTGTACTGTGCTCTGAGTTTCATGGGACAGTTCTTGCTTCTAGGCTGTAGGTCAAGAAGAATGAGGAAAGGAAAAAAAAAACAAAGGAATACTAGAAAGAACAACTGCGACCCAGCAATAGAGTATGCAGAAGAATGTAAAAACAGTAGAGATGCAGTGAGGACTCAGAGAAGGACTCAAGACCGAGGTTTAGATGCAAGGCACAGGCTGGAACAAACTTGCAAAAATAAAACCAGGCCTGTGAGGCCAGAGACATGCAGGCAAGTATCTTTATTGCTGTTCTTCCCTATAAACTCACCTTTGCTTGTTTTGTTTTGTATTTGTTTTTGTGTTTTGAGAAAACACTTCTCTCTATGTAGCCCCAGCTGTCCTGAATTTGCTTTATAGATTGGGTTGGCCTTGAATTCATGTAGATCCTCCTGCCTCTGTGTCCTGAGTGCTGGGACTAAAGGACTGTGTCACCATGCCTAGCTAAACCCAATTTTTTTAAGTTCACATTTATTTGTGTGTGTATGTGTGGGTACATATGAAAAGGCCAACTTGTGGGAGTCAGTTCTCTCCACCATGTGGTTTGAGAAGCTCAAACTCAGATTGTTGGAACTGAGAGTAGCATCTTTAATGACTGAGCCATCTTGCTGGTAATCATTTGCACTTTTGAAGTCATTTGCATATCATCAAATTTATCAACAATCTCCTCATTGCCAAAATAAAACATTTGAAATTATTCCTAAGGTGTATTTCTCTAACACTCAATAGCACACACACACTCACATACACACATACCTACATACACATACATACATGTACAAACAAACACACACATACATATATACACATACACATACTGGCATGAACACTACATAATATTCGATTGCATTTTGGGTGATATTCCAAATTCTATGATGTTTGCAATTGCCCATGTCTTCCTGTCCATTAGTTCTTTAATATTAAGATACATAGGTGTTGAGGAAAGATGTATCTCTGCCTAAGGTGCCTTCTGATTGGTTTAATAATGATCTAAATGGCCAATAACCAGGCAGGAGAGAATAGAAAAGACTTCTGGGGAGAGAGAGGAACTGGAGAAGAATCTGAGGCCTACAAGGGATGCCAGTGATACACTCAGAGAGTCAGACATACAGGATGGAAGAGAAGTAAATGGTCATGTGGCAGAATGTAGATTAATAGAAACAGGTTAATTTGAGTTATAAGAGCTACTTGGGAACAAGCCTAATCTAAAGGCCAAACTTTCATAATTAATAAGAAGTCTCCATGTTATTATTGAGAGCTGGCAGACCAAGAAAGCTGTACTACACATATGTTTCATTCCATTATATCAACTATCTTCCACATTTTCTAAACATGTATTCTTCAGGTGGCTGTACAGACTGGAGAGATGACTCAGTGGTAAGTGCTTGCTCTGCTAACAAGAGGACTAGAGCTTCAGATCCCCATAAAACATACACTGTTTGGTAAGCATAATAGTCCACCTATTCCAGCCTGAGAAGGGAGAGGCATGGGAAGACCACAGAAAGCTGGCTAGCAAGCATAGCCTGATCTGTGAGCTCTGGGTCTAAATAGGTACCCTACCTCAAGGAATAAAGGAGAATCTGCAGACATACCACCCTACCTATAGCTAACCTTGTTTGATCTTGAAAACTAATCAGAATTAGGACTAGTTAGCACCTGGTGAGAGAACACATAGAATAGCAATGGCACATATATGGGTTTGAACACATGAAAACACACACACACACACACACACACACACACACACACACACACACACACCAAACCACATATGCAGCATACACACACACACACAAAAAGAAAGGAAAGAAGAAAAACAAAAGAAAACCATATAAGTCAAACAACACAGGGATTTATAACACTTTGCAAATGGAATGTTAACTGAACTACTAAGATTCATGATCACAGGCTTAACTGTAATTATTCTAATTCCAGTTCTGTCTGTAGAGAGAAGCCTTTTCCTTGCCAGCCGCTTTGGGTTTTCCCCACCAGTTGCCTGGGCTCTGCCGCGTTGTAGTCCCCAAATAACACACAAGACGCTGTATTAATTATGAAGCTGTTGGTCTTGCTTGTTTCTTACTGGCTAGCTCTGACTTAAGTATTTAACCCATTTAAGTATTTCTCTTA